TGAGGATATATGAGGTTAGGTAACGACGGGTCGGAGATAACTTTTTTTGCGGAACGGAACTCACCAATAGTGTAAGAAATGCGTCTCGGATACTTTGAAAAATCCCGAGAAATGGCGGAAATTGATTTTCAGACGTTCCGCACCCGGCAGCGCATCGATTTCGTCGTCTTTCAAAAAATCATTTACCGGCCCCGCCGTTCCGCAAACCAATTCCGCAACGTTCCAAACCAAAATCACCACCGCACCTCCAACCAAACGCCATCTTGCTAGCATTTAGCCTGATTTAAACTGCAATTCCAACAAATCTTTTGATTTTTATTGGAGTAACGTGAATTTTTTCAGAAATATACACAGAATATATATGTACATATTTTTAATCTATGCATTTCATTATATCTATACGAACATATCCCAATATGTCAGAAGCTGAAATAAACCCCACATAAACGAGACGGGTCGGGGTGCGAAGTTCGGGGATCCGGGTTCCGGGAGGGGAGCTACAACAATGACGTCACGTGACGTCATCGATCAGGCTCACAGGTCAAAGGTCATCCGTCTATCTCCTCTAATCACAGCGCCTTCACTATGCGCGGCGCCATTTCACACAACTCAGCTGTAAGCCAGTAGCTCAATCTTCAACTGTGAGCCATTAGCAGCAGAACTAGCGCTAAGGGCAGTCCGGTCCAGTCTACAGCATCGAACAACAGCTCCTCGAGGGTAGGCGGTCCTTCTCTACGTCTCTCTCTCTCTTCTGCTACCGTACTATTTTTCCAATAAATTAGATTAACATTTAGCTGCTGCTTGAGCAGCTTTTTTGTTGCAAATTTTGCATTTGGGTGTCTGTAGGATCAGAGCAAATGTTTCATTCATAATAATAGTAGTAACAATAAAGATATACAATAATAATAAGAACAAAGTCTCAAATCTCAGATGAAAGTCTCAAATCAAAATTGCAACCTGAAAAGAAGCGTAGATGGCAATCACCCATCACATTGACTCTCTAAAAACAAGTTTAGAATGCCTTCGTCCCAATTCCATTAGCAAAAACGGAATCAGATGTCTTCAACAAGGTCTTACAACGCAAAATCCAGCAGCTCAATGTCCTGCAGCGCAAAATCCAGCAACTCAATATCCTGCAGCGCTAAAATACACCTCCTCTTTTAAGAGAGTTTATTCAAATTAAAATAAATGCTTTCAACAGTTTAAAAAATCAAGAATAATCATTTATTTACACTTGCACGCACAAAACGTTGATCGAACAACAGACAATGCATGATTCTTTATTCAGGTAGATGGAATTGAAGATAAAGTAACTGAGACTGTAATAACACAAAATGCAGCAACCGAGAATACAGTAATATATTTCCTCCAAACTACAGTAATGTGCCCGCCGCTCACTCTAATGGAATGTCTTCTTGCTGTACGAATCCCTTAACACCTCATCCAGCTCGTCATCCTCCACTTTACTTTCCAAACTGAAAACACAACAAAAAACTCTATTTTCTGAAATCTACCACTATCAATACCACCCAACGAATTTCGGAACAAACCGATGAAAAATGAGAAATAAAAAACTGGAAAATTTGAAAACCAATTTGAATAAACTGAAAAAACTTCGAGATTTAAGCCTTCGCCTCTTCAACACATTTCCCGCGGAGGTTCCCCACATGCGCTACTTCGAGTTTATGCAGGGCCTTCATAGCAAGAAGCCTGAAAAACCGCTCAAAAAANAAAAAACGCCGGAGATATTCCAAAAACCTCTTAGAGAATCAAATTTTTTCCCAAAAAAATTGACGATACGTATAAAAATGAACACTTCAAATGCATAAAAAGTAACAATTTCCGAAGAAAAATCAAAATTCCCGGATATATTCTGAAAAATTTCTGCTCACGTTTGTCAACGACGTGTACAATTCAACGTTTTTATGAAAACTTTACTTATTTCGTCGATTTCTTCCTTAAAAAATTACGTTCCCCATTAATTTAGGTGTTTTATAAACGCAGTTTAAGAGGAGGATACGAAAAAGGAGCAGAACAAAACTTTTCTCAACATTTTTAAAGGAATCCTCCAACATTTCCCTCCAAAATAATTTCACAAAATATCCCAATATCAAAATCAGCCCTAACATTAAAATCATATCAACAAAAATATCGAAAAGAATTATTAAATTCCACGTCTCGTCTGTAAAATGGAAATTTTTAACAGTGTCCAGCCTGCTCACCTTCCGGGAATCTCTGCTCTGTCGCACCCTCTTTAGTTGGCCTCCTGGAACTATCGCCTTACCAAAACTATGATAAAATACCCCTCAACCCAACTCTAGTACCCCACGTTCATTGAACACCATCCTTTACCAGTTTCAGGTCATCTCTGCAGACCCTCCCCTCTCCCCGCAAAAAATTCAAAACAACGACTCGGCAAAAAATCGACCGCCGACATTTTGGAACATATTTATAGAAAAGACTACAAAAATTCAACCAAACAAACATGCAGAAAAAAAACTTTATTCACCATTACTTTATATTATGTTCAAAAATATGATTTTTACAAAAATTTTTCATTTTCTCATGCAAATTCGCACAAATGCACCATTCCCTCATAAAAATTTGCATAGTCACACCATTTTCTCGTTAAAAATTTGCAGAATTACACCATTTTCACATGAAAATGTGCACAACACATCATTTTCTCATTTAAATGTGCACAATTACATCGTCATGCCATACCAAAAAAACATCATGCAAAGGCAGGAGGTAGCACGGGTAAAAAGGTAGATGAAAGTACAGGGAAAGTGCCATAGGCGGGTACAAAAACAAAGAAAAACCAAAAAAAAGCATGATGACGGGGCATTGTTAGACAGATTCTCAAACAATGCATAAAGTATCACTGAGCTGACACTATAAGGCAGCGAAATAGTATCATTCACCTGGTAAATGTGAAGATGGTAGTAAAGAAAAAAGCGCCCGTCTCATACTAGTGTTGTGCATGGAGTCCCCGAATTCGGGATCCCCGTTCCCGAATCCTCGTCCCCGACCATTTTCGAGCGGCAGCCGTTTTCGGAGACTGTACCCGTCCCCGAAAACTTCCCGACTCTTTCCGTCCCCGCTCTCTTTGGAATTGTCGACTCTCCCCGAAATTTCGGGGAGTCTCCTCAAAATTCCCCGTCCCCGAGTCCTCGTCCGCGTCCGCGACCATCTTCGAGCGGCGGCCATTTTCGGGGACTGTCCCTGTCCGACTTATTTTTCTCTCCCCGCACAACACTATCTCATGCGACTCAAATTGCAAAAATCCGAATAATAATAAATAATGCAAATAATGATAATCAATGATGGGCACTCGCACTCTAATCCGCCAGTCGCTAATTAGCGAATTATCATTTGGGTCTTAACTTCACACTCGTGCTGAGGCTACGCCTATTGCGTGATTGCGACTGTTTGGGTTGCGATTTCCGCGCCTATGTGCCAAATGAAAAATAAACACCAATCGAAAATAAGAACTCGAGCAAGTATATTCTCAGTGAGTACACTCAACGTTTTCATGTTTCGGTTTCATCAAAATATTCATGTTTCGGTTTCAAATAATTTTATGTTGTTGTTATTGTTCACGTTATTGTTGCTGCTGATCATTGTTTACTAAATTTTATCGTCGATAATATCATTCAAATAATGATAACGATAACGATAATATCATTATTCAAACGATAATATCATTCAAATTTCTCCTCTCAATGAGAGGAGAAATTTGAATGATATTATCGTTTTTTTTTAATTCGTTAACTGCACCCTCCACTTGCTGATATTATTATTGTCACCGACTGCAGTCAATGCTATTGAAAACAGCGAGAAGGAAAAAAAGAAATTGTGATTTCGGGAAAGGATTAATTGTGATTTCGGGAAAGGATTTTGTAATGAGATTGAAGTTGTGGTTGAGGTCGAACAGAGTCGTGAAGATTTGTGTTAAAACTTCGATCGAATGGTGTACCGATAATACGATAGCACAGAGCATGTGATTTATTCAAACATTTCAACAGTAATAAAAATCATATATTTATTCGTTCGCATATTTTTACAATAACAAATATCGAATTTAGTCGTGAGGTTAAGGGGCGTGATGAATAAAATAAACACCGGTGTATGGAAATGACGTTATACAAAAATCGAATATTCTGAACAGCAAAGATATGATAAGACTTAAACGTTACAACCAAAGAATGAATCATTATAAGCATGATGTGATGGAATAGACCAGGAACAGTATGCATGGAACTTGTGTAAGTGATGAAAATAATGAACATACAGACATACTACTTGAACTAACGAAGGACATGATACACGTTGTAATTACTCTTTTGCTGAAGTAATTAATAATTTGTTTTAATTGCTTGTAATGTCGTGTGGGAGAGATTTATGCTAATAGTTATTATTGTTTGAATATCAGCGCGTGTTATTATACAATATAATGCGATGTGGATATTGAGTGTAGACAGAGAGGAGATTATGGTGTGCAAATCATTGAATAGTGAAAAGATTGAATGAATAAATTGAGATAAATATACAAGCCAAATTGTCAATATATAGTGCGTAAAGTTTGCTTATCAACAATTTAAAGAAAACCAACGTATCGATACAGGGTATAACGATATGATATAGCGATAATTTGTTCGATGACTTTCACTGTGGTTACGATGTCGATGCTGGTCGGATTTGCGTTTGTCGTTATTGTCCGAGCGGCGTTGTTGTAGTTTGAGTGCACTCACTTGAGTCAATTGAATAATTGTTTGGTTGGAAAGGGTAGTGGAAGGGATTTAGGAGTTGACGGTTTGAGTTTAGGTTTGTGGGATTCGGACGACTTTGACGTTAGTCGATCATATTTTGCTGAATCGTTGTATTTTAGTACGAGATGATTTGATTGACTGTTCAATAACAATATTAATTTGTTACATAGTTACCTCCGATAATGATTTGGCGCCTTCCAATTTCAGTTGAATAATACAAATTATTCCGATAATTTTAATGATATAATTACCAGTCTGAGATCGGCTACTTGAAATTTTATCGTTGTTCGCTACCAACAATCTTTCCGTTTTTCTGATTTTTTGGCACGATCTCAAACTTGGATAATTAAACCATTGTTATTACATAACACAATTAACGCGAATCACGAGACACATATACAACGTCATTTGAATAACTAATTTTAAGACCCAGATTTTGAATTTAAACATGTTAAGAGTTAAATGTGGGGTGAATGATTGATATTAAAGGATGCTGCAAAT